GTCACATGTAATAAGAAGGTGAGTATGTAATCTGTATATTGTAAGGATTCAGAGAAGTTAGTAATTCGTAACTTTACTGTTCCTTTATTGAATAAGCACATAAGTCATTGATATATAACTTTATTACACATGATTACATAAATCATTCATAGCTTGATTTCAGTATCCGCCCCTCCTGTCCATTCCCATAGTCACTGTTCCAGTTCAGGTTTTCGTAAATCTTATTTGAACTATTACAGTGGCCCCTATCTGTTTTTTTTGTTTTGTTTTATTTTGTTTCGTTTTTTGACATGTCTTATTTTATCCAAATACCAGTCTGCTCATACATGGTCCAAGAACATGCAAATAATAAACCAAGAAGAAACAGATGTTAAAGATTGGTCTTCAAACATTATAGCCAATGACACCACACTTCTCTATGATCTCTCCAACATGAAACCTCATCCACACCTCGGAGGCCACCAAACCATTCAGCAGAGCTTCCTTAACTGTGAGCTCTTTGAAACTACCAGTTCGAGCGCTAGTGACTATTTTTTCAAGCTCTGAATAACTGTAGGGATCTCAGCAGGAGTTGGAGGAACCAGCTTAGCCTTGGCATAGTGCCACAGTGTGGCCGGTCGCGGCTTCGAGTAAGTCACAGCAGCGTTTACCAGTGCCGGAGCCTGGGACCTTCTCCGTGAGGTTACGGATAAACCGGGCCATAGTTCTAGGATGGGAAGTCCGTGGCCGTCAACAGCCGGTTCCCCGTTTCTGTTTTTAATTCCAGCCTTATCTCCTGTTTCATCCCACGAGAAGAAAAGCTCAGTTACGTGCAGGGATGTTTATCTCTCCTTCACCGCATTTTCCCGAGCACTCGAAACAGTGCCTGGCGCATGGCAGAGGGTTGAAAATATTTGTTGTGTAAACGAATAAACACGTCCTAGTTTCCTCCACTCCATGGGGTGGGGGGGTTGTCACCAAACCAAAACACGCCCTTTCCTTTGTGTTCACGTGATAGGCGCCCCATCAGCAGTCTCGGGGGTCAAAATCCTGCTCTTCCTTTGAAGGACAATTTGAATTCCACTTTCTTAAAAACAGAATGGTACAAAAAACTGACTTCCTGGTTTTTCCCTTTTTCCCTTGCCCTTTTGTCTCGCTTTTGATTTATGATTATTTCCTAGAGCAGTACACATTTGTAGCATAGCTTTGGTTATCCAGCTTCCTGTTAGATTTTAAGTGGTTCAAGGGCAGGGAGTGCGTGTGGTGCTTTGCACATTTGATACATTGTTTATGAATCAGGATTGGTTGTAGTTCTAGCTGTAAAACATACGTTCTTCACATCCTGAGCCAGTCACATCCTGAGCCAGTCGTAAGAATAATGTATGAAATTCGCACTAGATTTTTCTTCAATCCTAATGATCGTGTTTCCAGACAGTTGGAGAATTTCTCATAATGATATAAGCTTCCTCAAAATTCATTTCTGGTTTAAGCCAAAGTGAAAAGATGAGAGAAACTGTGGAATATATAATCTTAGTTTACATGTAAACATTAGCAAAGATTGAAACACCAAAATGTGTACTTATGGATCCTAACATGAACTTGAACTGTGTTTTCTTTTTCTTGGTAAGTTTCAGTCAAATTTTTCTGTTTTCCAACTGAATCGTCACCTACTTTTTCTGAAATGTTCTTAAAGCCTGGCATTAAAAGATTATCACACAGTTTTACGTAATTCCTTTTTGTAGCGTTTATTCGATATTCTGAAAGTGGACTAAAATATATGTGTTTTTTTATTTTAGAAGCTGAAGTCATTTTTTAAAGAATATGGACAGATAGAATCTGTACGATTTCGTTCTGTGGTATGTTTTCTTCCCCTTTAAAATTGCATCGTTCTAAATGTATTGCATTTAACTTAGACTTATCACTGTGTCGGCGTTAGTGGGGGAGCACTTGACTTTAGCCTTTCGGATCAATAGATTCCAATCCAGCCCTAGAGAAGAGTCGCCCTTAGAATCCGTTGCTGACTCTTATCTTTGTTAAATAGTTCAGTGAGTTCACATAGTAAAATCCTTGTCACTAAGGCCAACACTGTGTTTGGGAGAATGGATGGGTGACCTGTTTGCTGTGTGGGTCGAGTAGGCGGAAACGTTAATACTTCCTGAATAGCGTTTCTGGAATCGTGGGCATTCAGCATGGGGGTTTGTGTGGCTGTTGCAAACAGACTTGTACTCTGAGCATAGAAAGATGAATCGTTTTTTAAAAAATCAATTTAATGGTAACACTTTCTAGAAATGAATGGTGTCTGACTTCATCAGCTGAGCATCCTGTAGGCCAGTTATAGCCATGTTCCTTGGAACATGAATTAAGCACCATTCGTATGTCTTAATGTAATTAATGTGTTAGAATAAGTAATATGTATTAGAAATGTTTATTCTTTGTCTCTGACTGCTCTCACGTGATTCAAAATGGAGTTTCTCAACCTCGATCCTATTGAGATTTTGTGCTGGATAAGTCTTTGTTCTTCGAGGCTGCCCTGTGCATTATGGGATGTTCAGCAGCATCCCTGGGCAGTGCCCGCTAGATGCTAGTAGCACTCGGCCAACCCCGGTTGTAACAACCAGAAATATCTCCAAACATTGCCAGATGTCCGCAGAGGGCAAAAGTGCCCACTTCTCTAAGTAGACATTTCCCAAGGTCTGGGCACAGTCTCCATAACTGCCATCACAGTGTTTGTTTCTCACTTTCAATACGTATATTTCGTCTGCCCTTCCCATTTTCCCACGTCATACCCTTGCCGGGCACCTCCACGCGGGTGTCTTGCCAGCACCCCAATTTCAGCACGTCTGCGCGTAGCTCCAGCCTGGGCTGCCTACTGGTTTTCTTGTGACTTAGTGCCACCGTGCTGCAAGCTGTGACCTTGCTCTTGACTCTTCTTTGGCCCACCCACCCTAGTGTTTGTCACCTCTGTCTGTTTTTCACCTGTGCTTCCCACGGTGACTCATTCCTTTATTTTTCCATTGTCTCACTTAAGTTCTCATTACTTCTTGTCGGAAAAGCTGCAGAGGCCTCTTGTGGTTTCTACCTGCGGTCTACCTTAAATGGATCCAGCATGCCACTGTCAACTCGGTCTTCTCAAAGGACTTCTTCCCGTGACTCCCGCCCAACCCCTCACCCCCGGCACACTGCAACACTGTCGTTCTGATTAAGCATTTCCCTAGAGTGTTTTTAATCACATTATATCAGAGTAAGATATTTAGAATTCAGTTAATTAAAATATAATTGATTTAAAGTAATGTTTCAAATAATGAATTTTCTTTAATGCTCTTTTTTCCTCTTAAAAGATTCCAGCAGAGGGAACTCTGTCCAAAAAGTTGGCAGCGATAAAGTAAGTTTATCATTAAAGGGAGTAATCTTAAACGCTTCCATTTTATTTGGATAATACATCACGCTTTACTAGTTTCCTTATGTATGTAATAGTACATAAGTTTGTCAGATGTTTATCTTTAAGCCTTAACGTAAACTGTAGAGTCATAGAAAGTATTGTAAAATGACGTACTAGAAAAGGCGCCATGAGAAACTTTAAGGATGTTTAATTGGGTGTAGTGTTTGAAGAGAATAGGAAAGTTTCATATGTAAATATTCTAATATAAATCATAAATACCATATTTCATCAATTCTAAGGCACGCTTTTTCCCATATCTTAAAATTTTGAAATCAAGATGTATCAAAATCAGGGGTACCCCATCGTTGATTGGCTGGTCAGGTTCCAGAGAGAATTCCTGTTTGCCCCCATTGGTCGCCTGGGGCTACTGCCAGCCGAGACCTCTCTAAGGTCTCTGTCTGAGGGTTTGGGGACCATACTGGTAGATGCTTCAAGTTCTCAGGGAACTTTCCCGACTCCTTTTCTACCTAGTCCCAAGGGTAAGATATGGCAAGTTTTCTTGCTCTCCATTTGTTTCTCATTTGTTTTTTTAATTGAAATATAATTGACACATAACATTATGTAAGTTTGAGTCATACGACCTTGATTTTTAATTTACCTTCAGTTTTATGCAGATTTTTATTAGTCTCCTAATCTTGGGTGCTGCTTCTTTCTCACTGGTGCATGAAATGATGGATTTTACAACCAGAGATGTGTATATTAGATAATACCCATCCCTTGATTTACAAGGTTTTTTTGTTTTGTTTTTTTTTACGAGAGTTTTTTAATACGTGTTAAATTCCCCCACCCCCGTTTACGCGGGCTTTTTATACACAGTTTCCGTTTACACGGATTCAGTTCTTTAATTTTCATCTCCATTATTGGCGATTACTTTTTCTAAAAAAACAATAGCTTAACTCAGCAATGTACAAAGAACTAATAGTAATACACAATTAATGATCTTCCCATTCACTGGATGGCAGATAGAAAAGCGTGGGCGACTACTGGTTTTTTGGGATTGGTTTTATAAATGTTTTTACTGTAGAACCTGAAAATTATATGAAGGAAAAATGTCTTCCTTTTAAAATACTTTTACTTTTAGATAATGCACCTGCTCATCCACACAATTTTAGAACATCCAGACACAAACATTGTATATTTGCCACCAAATACAACTTCCTTGATCCAACCTTTAGATCAAGGCATTTTTTCCACCTTTAACTTGATTATATTAAACGGAGTTTCAGAGATTTTAGTAAACATGAAAATAATGGATCACTTACAGTTACAGAAGCCTGGATTAAATACACAATTTTAAGTCGTATCAAGAATATTGCTTTAGCTTTGAGTGCTGTAAAGCCGTCAACTTTAAATGCTTGCTGGAAAGCAGTATGGCCAGAAGTGGTGGTACCCTGGAATATGGTTCCAACAGCTGAAGAGTGACTCAGTGGCATTATTAATTTATTAAATAAATTTCAAGAAGAGGGCGTTACCAATTTGAATGTAAATGATACTAACGAATTACTAGTTGATCACGAATTAACTGATAATTAATTCGCTTAATATCTGAAGCCCATCCTGCCAATGAATACGGCAGTGACCTTGAACCAGTTTCCTTCACTGCAGAAAATATTACAAAGCTCTTCCATTGGCCACAAAACTGGAAACTGCAATTCTAGATATTGATCCGAACATCCAACGAGCTTTAACATTTCGGAAAGGTTTTTTTAAATGTTGTAGTGAATATTTAAGAATTTATGAAAACTTAGCAAAAGATGAGGTTGGAAAAAGATCGTCTAAAAACATAAACGTAAATAATGAAAGCGAAGCAGCACTTCCAAATATTTCGAGCGATGAAGATAGTGACTTTGCGCCAGTTAAAAAGAGAAGGTTGATTGCAGTAGAATCCAACAGTGAGTAAAATTTATTTTGGTTTTTCTGAATTTTCATCAGCATTTTTTTGAGGAAGTACGTGAAATATTTTTATGCCTTACATCGGCCTGTCAGTTTTTGTTTTTCGTACTGGCGGACTCTTTTTATGCGGTTTTTCTTCCACGTAACAAAAAGACACGTGGAGCGGATAATCACGCAAATCAAAAGACAGATGAATATTACACCTTTATACATAGTTACATTAGATGAAATATAATGGTGTACTTTAAAAACATTTCTGGGAATCCTGTCATACCAAGAGTTTCGAGTGACAGCAGTCCCATTTGACATCTTGGCGAGCTCATTCCCACGTTCATTTCTGACTTGGGATTTTTTGGCAGGCGGGGTTGGTCCCAGTGTTTTCCCAGAACCGTCACGGCCCGGGGCGTATAGTGCTTGATAAGCGTGTGTCCTTGACTCTGGTTACGTTTGTTGAGATAACCAAACATGAGCCCTCCTGTGTCTAGGGAGTCGTTTAGGTGCCGTGAGGAGCGGATACAGCCCTCTTCTGTGGGCTGTACAGGCTTTTATTGCCAGTGAGGCTGAAACCAGGGGCCCAATCTTTGGCAGAAACGAGGTTCTGAGGGGCGTATATAAGAGTGGAGCTGAGAGGTTTGGGCGCCAGAATAATGGAGTTCGCTCACCGCGATGGCCATCAGCCTACCCCTGCCCCCAGCTGAGAAATTTTAAATTTAATTGTTTGGATAAGTAACGAAGCACATGGTTAGAAATAAACAACTATAAAAGCGTACACAGTGGAAAGTTTCTTATGACACCGTTTAACTGGTCAGCCAGTTCCCTGCTCCAGGCGGACGCTGTCTTCACTTCCTCGTGTCACCTGCCAGGCCAGGGACGGTTTGTGCATTTACACCTCGGTACACGCGTGTGTTCTCCACTTTCGACGCGGTGGGGGTTCAACATGTGCGCTGCTCCACGTCTCGCGTTTTCCACTGACTGCCACTCAGAGGTCTGTCGCCAGCAGTGGGGACATCGCCTCCCCGTCCTTTCTCTTCAGAGCATCCTAGCATTCCAGAAGGTGCACCGCAGCTCGCCTTAACAAGCCCTCCTCGGTGGGCGTTTGGCGGGTCCAGTCTCGTGGCCGTTGCCAGTAATGCTGGCGTGCGTGACCTTGTACTTAGCAGTTTTGCCCGTTTGCGAATTTGTAGGATAAACTTCTAGTAATGGAATTGCTTAGTCGAAAAGGCGTTTGCTTTTGTAGTCGTGAGTGTTGTCCCATAGAAGTGGAACCTCCTCACGTTCCCACACCTTTACCCACAGTGTGTTTTTGAGCGTTTTGATCATAGACAGCTTGATAGGTGAAAGTGGTATTTCTCCTTTGCATTTCTCATGTGAGAGCATCTTCTGTGTATTCAGTACATTGGTGACCCCTTTTATCTGAATTGTTGCTTTCCTTTACCATTTTTTTTCTGTTGAGTTGTTTCTCTTACGGATCTGTGAGACGTTATGGAAATCAGGCTTTTGTGATTCGAGTTACAAATATTGTTCCCTGTTTTCATTGGCTTCTTTGCTCTGCTTACGGGGGATTTGGCCATGTCAAATTTTTTTTGCTTTCTCATTTAGTCAAAAACGTTTTTTAACTTAAAAATTTTTTAATTTTAAAAAGAAATGTAAGGTTTTTCTTTTAAGGTATAATTTACCTTCAGTAAACTGCAAATACTTGAAGTGTATGATTTTACTAACATTTCATATGCACTTACGAAATCATGGCCGCTGTCCAGATACTGAATACCTCATCACCCAAGTTTCATCCCCCCACCCCACCCCCAGCAACCACTGAGCTGCTTCCTGTCTATGTATGCTAGTCTGTATTTTCTGGAATTGTCTGTAATGGACTCATCATATAGGAAATCTAGTCTAGTGGGGTTTTGAGCTGCATCCATATTGCTGGATGCTCAGCGGCTTGTTCTCTCCATGGCCAGCAGTTCCCGTTATATGGAAGTGCCAATCAATGGACGTTCCCTCACCTTGTCTTCTAAGTCGCTGATTTGATCTTCTACGTCATCTAATCTAATGTCGAGTCTCCGTAACATATTCTTCATTTCTGACTGGTTCTTTTTTGTGTTTTACTATCTCCATATTTGTTTTCTGACTGTTTGTTAAAGTTCTCATCGAGTTTCCCTGCTCTTCCCCTAAGTTCACTGAGCATCCTTTTGTATATGTGTTGCTGAAGCAAGCGCTACAGCCAGTGTTTTGAACTCCGCATCTGGTAGATTGCTTGTCTCCATTTTGTTAGTTTTTTTCCTGGAGCTTTGTTCTGGGTTCCCCCCTCCCCCACTTGGGACATGTTTCTTTGTCTCCTCATTCTGGCTGCCTCCCTGTGTTTGTTTCTACGTACTAAATAGGGCTGCTGAGTCTCCTGGTTTTAGCAGAGTGGCCGTATGTAGTAAGTGTCCTCTGGGGCCCAGCAGTGCAGTCTTTCCTGGTCACCTGAGCTGGATGCTCCAGGTGTGTTTTTTGTGTGGGTGGTGTGTACCCTCGTGTTGTAGTTGAGCCTTGGTTGCTGTTGGCATGTCAGTGGGAGGGTTGACATTCAGGCTGATTGGTTGTGAGGCTTGACTGGTGAGGGGCTGACCCAGTGGAGCAGGATTCTCTTTAGCAGGGCTCCGGGGCCTGCCCAGTCTGCCCTGTGGGTTTGCTGTGCTTTGATGCGGCTCTGGGAGTTGCTCCAGCTTGGTCTGAAGCCGGCCACCAGGTGTGCTGGCCCTAGGGCCTACTGGGAGGGGTCCTGCCACAGGCCAGGTTCAGCCGCAGCCTGCACCCTGCCCTGGGCCATCTAGCAAGAGTGACCAAACAGTCCACAGGTGTCTTCTACCTGTGCTGAGCTTGGAGGTGTCTCAAGAGGCCAAACAGCAAACCCAGGCCAGCTGCTGCTAGTGCCAGGCTGGGGCACACCAAGGCCAAATGCTGCTTATTTGTGAACCTTTGAGAAATTTTAAGAAAGTCTGCAGCATGAGCCAAAACAGGCTGTTTGTATGGAAGAGCCCTTGAAAGTGGCTTGGGTGGGCCCCAAGTTGGGTGGGACAGGATCTCAGGGAATCACCAGGGCTGGGCGACCAGTGTCAGCCAAGTTGATGGAGACTCAGATGGTGGCTGCCTGTGTTTGCACACCGGGAGTGGGGAGAGCCCAACAAAGGAGCAGTGCCCTCTGCATGTCCCCAGCATGTCTGTCTGGGGGGAAGCTGCCCATCTAGCCCTCACCCTGTAGCCGGACACCTTAGTTCTCCATGTGTCCCTGGCGCCCTTGAAGCAGCTGCCTTAGTGCTGGAGCTCAGAGCAAATGAGTCCGTCGATGATGAGTCCATGCACGGACCCTTTAAGAGGATGCCTGGGACTCCGGCCATCCTCTGTCTCACTCAGTTGCCATCCCCGCTGGTTTTCACAGCCATAAGTTGTGGGGACTTCTCTCCCTGGCACTGGAACCCTGGGCTGCGGAGCTTGCTGTGGGTCTGGGACCCCTGCTCCTCAGCATCACACGTTGGTGTGGGTCCAGCCCGTTTGTGTCTCCTCCCCTCCTTCCAGTCTCCATGTGGCCTCTCGCGTATGTCCCCAGTTATAGGACTTCTGTTCAGATAGACTTCAGGTGACTCCCAATGATGGCTCTTTGTAGTTTAGCTGTGATTTTGATGTGGTTGTAAGAGGAGGCGAGCGCAGCATTTTCCTACTCTGCCCGCTTGACCGGAAGCCTGTGGCTGGCCTTTTTGAGGGTGTTTTTGAAGAGCAGTGTAGAGAGTACTGTTGTTTGGCAGTCTGGCGGAGACAGTGGGTTCTCTGTTGTCCTGGTCCGGCTTAAGAAAGTCTGCAGCATGAGCCAAAACAGGCTGTCTGGCTCAGATGCAGGCAGGCCCTCGTGTTTATACTTCAGAAGTGTGCCTGATCGGCCAAACACCACCTTGTGCCTTTGGTGGGTCTTGTACTGGGGAACAATTCCCACCCCTCACCCAGGGGTAGGAGGCTGCCCTTCCTCCGGCCACAAGGGGTCTTCTCTGTGCCCTGGGGGGGCAGGGTGTGGCGCCTCTGCCCTAGAGGCTGAGCCTTCCCCATACCAGCTTGGGCCCTTCTGTCCTCCAGGGCAACCACCAAGGATGCGCCCTGCCTCCTTCCTACCTGCATCAGTCATTCCCTGGGACCCTGGCAGAGGACAGCGGAGCAGAGCCTGTGAGGGCACACTTCCTGCGTCGGCCTCCTGGGGTTCCACGTCAGGCCCACCACACGCTTGGATTTAGCAGTTAGTAAAATCATAGCCGAATCTTCCCGGCCTGCCTGCGCTGGTCAGGCGCCTCACCCGTGAGCCTCTGCTGCCTTCTGCCTCCTCAGACAAACCTGTCCTTTCTTAGTTTTCAGGCTGCTTGGTTCCCCATGATTTCAGCTCTCTGATGGCTTTGACAGAAGTTACAGTGTTCTAGGTTATTTGGTGTCTTCGTCTTTGGGATGGCAATGATGCTATTTCTGGCTTCCTCCCTTCTGGGTGGGGATAAAAATGTAGATGTCACTCAGGTCTGGACGGACGTCTGAGTTCATTAGTTAAAAATCCTCCATCAGGCTTGATGCAGGACATGTTCTTGCCAGGGATCGAGGGCAGAGCTGTGTGCCTGCCTTCTGTGGTCCCAGCGCCAAGGAGATCGTTTGTCACGGAGTAGCAGCACGCTGCAGCCACAGAGATTTTTTAAAGTCGCTTTCCGTTTATGTCGTCTTAGGGTTTGTCTCAGTCCGTTCAGGCTGCTGTAACAAAATACCACAGACTGGGTGTCTTATAAACCACAGATGTTTATTTTTCACGATTTCAGGCCGGGAAGTCTGAGATGCGGGTGCGGCAGCGTTGTGTCGCGGTGACGCTTTGTAAGCCAGCCCTTCTCTCTGTGTCCTCACATCACCGAAGGGTCTGGGGACTCTGTGGTGTCTCTTTTAAAGAGCACTAACCCTGTTCATGAAGACTTTACCATCATGACCTAAGCGCCTCCCCAAGGCCCCACCTGTTGCCATCACAGTGAGTGAATGTGGGGTCACACAAACGTGAAGGCCCTGGGGTTACACGGGGACGTGTTGACTTGGGTGTTGTCAGCTGCGGCGTGCGGCGTGGGAGGAGTAAGGGCTCTGGAGTCAGACTTGGTTTAAGTCTCAGACTGGCCGCTCGTTACCTCATAGTCATCGTCACAGACTTCACGTCTCAGCTTCCTCATCCATAAAGTCACAGCTGACACCCCCGGCGGAGACGAGAGCCAAGCCAGACAGTTCTCGTCTGTGTTGATCGAAAGTAGAAAACAGGCTGTGTTTATTTTAGTGACTTTGACATTAACAAGTTTTATATTATATTTCGTGTGTATGTGTGTGTGTGCGCAGACGTAAAGTTCATCCCGATCAGAAGAATATTAACGCTTACGTCGTGTTTAAGGACGAGAACTCTGCGGCCAGAGCTCTGAGCAGGTAATCTCATCTCTCTCGAGGTTGGAATGGTCACTGTATTGAAGTATGTGTGAGTTTTTTTTAGTCTTTGGTTTCACTTTAGAGCAAACGTTACAGTAACTCTGCTCATTTTTAACGGCCATTTTCCCTTTGTATGTATAATACAGAAATGGGGCCCAGATTGCTGACGGATTTCGTATTAGAGTTGATCTGGCGTCAGAGACCTCATCTGTAAGTAGTACGTGACTTGTTTAAGGGACTTCGTAACTAGAGTCTTACAGAGAGAAACGTTTTCTTCTGAGCTTTTGTTAGGAGTAGAATCAGCAGTGAGCATGAGGGAAGCATGGGAGGGAAGAGCCTTTGCCCACTGTGGTCACAGCGTTGGTGCCTAGAACAGCACAGGACTTAAGTCACTTTAGCTTCTGGAGCGTGACTTCCCACTCCCGCCATTAATGCATGATCATAGGCTGGAAGGTAGATTGGTATTGGTCTGGGCAAACACCTTATTTTATAGATTGAGGTTTAGAAAGTTAAAATATTCAAAAGTTTTGAGTCTCTACTATGTCAGCCGTCAGTACTTATAGTACCAGTTCTGTAGGAGTTCCCAGTTTAAAGGTGAAGATAAGCAGATGGGCTGATCGTGGCACTCTTTTCTGATAAATGCTGTCATAAATGCACACGAATGGGACATTTGACTTGGGGAGGTAGCAGCAAGAAGGGACAAAGGAGAGTTTCTAAGAGAACAGGAGTTACATCTGTCTTGCAAGATGAGTCGGTATTACCTGGGCAAAAAAAAAAAACTTGAAGAGGATGAGGATATTGGGCATGAAAAACAGTAGGAATGGTGGGGCCCCCACTGGATCTGCGTAGGGATTGGCAAGAGCTCGATGCAGGTGTGGCGGATAGAGTGGCGAGGGCAGCAGCACGAGCCGCCGATGGAGCGGCAGGTGGAGGCTTGGTCCCCACGGCGCGTCTGGGTCTTGTCCAGGCCGCACAGGTTTACACGCCGAGTGACGTGGTCAGGTTTGCGTTTTACAGCCGTCTCGCGTGACGGATGAAGGTTGGGTTGTAAGGGCTCACCAGAGAGGCATGGAGGACATTACTGTCAGCGTCAGTGACCTGGTCGAGAAGTGGCAAAGGCCTGGTTGCCATCCCCGGCTTTGATGATGGACCTAACAAAGGGTCAGCAAACTGGCCCGAGGGGCAAACCCACCGTCCCCTGCTTTTCGAAATAAAGTTTTATTAGCATGCAGCCACACCCAGTAGGATAAGTATGGCGCTGTAAGGGCAGAGGCCCCGCGCCCCGTCGAGCCTGCCGTCCATATTCGCCATCTGGCTCTTCACCCCCATGGAGCACACCTGCCCCGAGCACGGCCAGGGGCAGGCAGTGCTCCCTGTGGAGAGACGCCCACTCCCGCGGCCTCCCTCACAGTCCAGCCGAAAGGACAGGAGAGACGATCAAACGAGGGACCGACGTGTGGTTAAGTCAGGAGGTGAAGGCCTGTCACACACGTGGGGCGAGGAAAAGGCAGGCTGGGTTTTAGGGTGGCTTCCGTTTTCTGCTGCAGCGGATGATTTTTATTGATCCTCTTTGTGTTTCAGAGAGACAAGCGGTCGGTGTTTGTGGGGAATCTCCCGTACAGTAAGTTTGCTTAAACAAACGGACTACTTCTTGTCGTTAAAATAATGGAAATAACCATCGAGTAGTCACGTAATGTTTTGCCCTGAGAGTAACTTTGAGAAGCGTGGACTGTGACTTGACCGATGCCACGGGAACGCTGACGGGCTGCTTGCTGTAAACGGCTCCAGCGACTCCAGGCTTCGCTTCCATTTGGTCGAATTTGCTTTTAGAGGCTGAAGAGCCTGCGGTCGAGGAGCACTTTTTGGACTGCGGAAGTGTCGTGGCAGTAAGGATCGTGAGAGACCCGCGCACAGGCGTCGGCAGAGGGTTTGGCTTTGTGCTCTTCGAGGTATGGGAGACTAATGTGTTGTCACTGTCCTTCGAAATGCGCCGGGAGGGCTCGTCACGCTGTGTCATCATGCAGAATAACTGTCACTGCCACCTTCAAACTCTACCTTAAGAAAACTAAACTCATGACCCACCGTGACAGAGACTCATGCCTAACCAGGTGTTCCAGTTCCCTGTTCCTCCCCGCCAGTGTCGTTAAATAACGTTTTAGGTACCGGATATTACAGTATCTAAATAACCGAATCTCTATCTTCTATAAAATGGAGAGAAGGACTGGCTCTTCACCCTTTATACAAAATTGGTTTTATTTAATTCACTAAATATTAACCTGCATTCCGTGCCTGACGTTAGTAGATTGTACCGTTGAGTTTTTCGAACCCCCACGACATTCGTACATTGTCTCTGTTTTTCTTGTGCCTTTTTTTTTTATAGTTGAACTTACCTGTGAACGTAGTTTCGCAACCTGTTTTATGTTGTTTTCCGTTGTGTAAGGATGTTCCATCGAGCGATGTAATATAATTTATACTGCCTTTTCCCTAACGTTTCTCCAATGTCAAACATTTCCAGTGTTCTCTATTTTCCCCTCTAAGAATGAAATTGGAGTGCTCATGTTTTTTCTCTAAATGTTCACCTGCGTTTTTGGGTTACTTCTTTAGGACAGATGCCAAGATAAGTGACCATTTTTAAGGCTCTTGACATGTATTACCAGATAGTTTTAAGAAAGGTCTTCACGGCCTCATTGCCATATTGTATCTATCTTACTGTCTCTCTGCTCTGTCTTCTATTACTTGACAAGTTTCTGAAATCCTTATAAACCATCTCATTTATACTCAGGGTTGTTAGCATGCAGCGGTTCTATATTAGAATAAAAGAATAATAGAATTTTGGGTCCGAATGGTACCCTACAAGGCATCTACTCCAGCATCTCAGGGACCGCTCTCAAGCCAACAGATACAGGGGCACTTTTGCAGAAAGGGCCTAGTGAGAAGGAATTCATTGGTTCGAAAGATTGCATATGACTCATCTAGTTAGTTGAAACTTTGTTTTACAATGAGCAAAACCTATTGGATTGTGATTTACAGTTGTAAGGTGCAGTTTCAACTAACTAGTTATTTGACAAGGCAGCTTGAGTGCTTCCTGGAGGAGAATGTGGGGAGGAGGATTAAAAGCAGACGGCAAGCACAACTGCTAGAGCACTGGCCTTGGACTTCTTGGGTGTGGAAATGGGCGGGGCTTCTATGTGCAAGCTTGAAAACTCTGCAAATCCATTAAAGTAATTTTACTAGTTTCTTTGCAGACGAATTTCTGATTGAAATTAATATGTTGATTTTCATTGCAGAATACAGATGCCGTTCATCTTGCTCTGAAGTTAAACAATTCTGAACTGATGGGAAGAAAACTCCGAGTCATGCGTTCTGTTAATAAAGAAAAATTAAAACAAAATTCAAATTCCAGTTTGAAGAATGTTAGTAAACCTAAGAAGGGACTTAATTTTGCCTCAAAAAAGGTAGGACATTCTGAAAGTTTATTTATCGGAGAAAAAGCTGTTCTTGTCAAGAAGAAAAAGAAAGGACAGAAGAAAAGTGGACAAATCAAGAAACAGAAAAAACAGAAGTAGCAATCTGAAGCTTTCTTTTTTTCCACTGGGTAGTGGTAATAAAAATGTGGCGAACTCACGTAATGAGTTTCAGAATTTTTTATGGATGGCGTATGTGAACATGGAAACTTTTTTAGTTTATTCATATTTTAATAGTACCTTTGAAGCATTTAAGATATAGGCAGATTAGACACCATGGATTATATGTTATTGCTGATGAGATGATTTAGACTTAGGGTAAACGTTTGGAATTTCAGCGGTTATATATTATTTTAACGAGTGTTAGAAATATTTAATTAACACCTCAGTTATTTCGAGAATTACTTGGAATGAGACTAAATTAAAAAGTAAATTTAAAAATAAAACAATAAACTTTAATACTGATTTTACCTAGACGAAGTATCTAAGCAATTCAAGTGAGAATACTGGTCAAAGGTCCAATAATCCTTAAGAAGAAAGGTTTGAAGGCTCTTGTAATTTCCAGGGACCGGATATGTTATGCTTAGTATCCTCTCTGGTGCTTAGAACCTTGTTTTTCGTAAGGAGGATTCAGTAAATACTTGTTACTTGATAATTCTTGAGCATTTTTGCATCTGTTTCTAGTTAAATTTATATTAAGATGCATCATTTATAGACTATAGACTCTCTATAGATACATATAGTTTATAATTTTATTGGGTATATTTTATTTTATAGTATATACGTATATAAATTTATATAATTTTAGTGTCCTTAACAGAGAGCGTTCCTTTCGGTTTCTTAGGTTTTCACGTAAAGAACCCTGGACTGGGGTGTAAGGGCATCTGCTTCTTGACCCAGCTCTCTGGCTGTGCACACATGACCTTGGACAAGCCTCTCTACTCTTTTATCTAAATATCTTGGTGAAATAAGGGGCTTGGACCAGATCAGTGGTTTCACACTCTTGACTATGATCTGCAATAGCATTAATTTTATATTGTGATCAGTCTGAACCTGGATGGATTTAACTGACTTGGAAATTTCACATGACAGTACTGGTCCTTACTACAAGTGTTGGCACCTAATATTTTTAATTCTATTTTCTTAAAAACACGGGTGGTGACCCAGTAAGGTCATCTCACAACCCACTAAGGATTCCACTCAGAAACGTGTGCCTGGGGGACCTCCAGGCTGTGTCTGTTCCAGGATCCTACACCTACAGGGGTTTTACAGCAGATATATGGAAATGTAGCGTGGTCAAGGGTTTCAAGGGCATGGATGTTGCTCTAACTGCACTTTGTATAAAGACCTTACCTGGGCTATTGTACCTCGTAGTAGTGACCTCGACATTTGTGCCGTATTTACTGTGCACCGCACAGGGACGGAGAGAAGTAGCATGTTCTTCGTTTATTCGGGAGTCATAACCTAGTGGCCACGTAATCTCAAATTTTCAAGAGTCGAGTTCTAGGTCTCACGTCACCTGTATGGCTATATGGCCTTGGACACGTCTTTTGTGTTCCAAACAGCTGCGGCTCAGGACATACCTCTGTCAGTTGAGATTCACTGAGAGCTTTTTGGGATAGGAAGAATCAGATCATATAAGGAAAAGCTCTGTGTGTCATTCTGTGTGCGATCCTCTGATCTTGGTCATTGTCTTGGCTTGGGACAGATGCACCTCCACACCCTTCCCTTTCCCGCATCCCAGCCTTGGCAGCGCGCACGTGCCTTTGGTCTAGTTTCCAGTCTTCCGTGGGGCTCAGCTTCATTATCAACTAAGCAGATGGCTTTCTGGACTGCGTTGCGGCCTCCAGCTGTGTCGTTCCCATGGCGCCCTTACAATGTATGAAACCAACTACTCAGAGTTAGGCCAGGCTTCATAGGTTAAGGGGTACGGTCTTCTACGAGATTGCCTCACTTCAGACACCAGTCACAAATTTGGGGGTCTGCAGGTCTTTTGAGCAGCTAGCTACTAATTTGGGGGTTCCCACTGCCTCCTCAAGTTCCATAGTTCATTATAAGGACTCAACTAACTCAGGAATGTGCTATAGTTATGATTATTTTTATTATAACAAAAGAATTCAAATCAAAACCAGACAGGGAAAGATGCATAGGGAGAGATCTGGGCAAGTTCCAAACTCAAAGCTTCCACTGTCCCTTCCCTATGGAGTCAGAACACCTCAAGGTCCTCGTACATGGCACATTGCCACGTAACTACACAGAGTGTTGCCAACCCCTGAAAGCTCACTCTGTCTATAGTCTTGATCCGAGTTTCACAAGTTGATCTCGATCCTGGCCCCTTTTACTTCCCAGAGAGCTCAGAGTCCTACCCTTCTATTCCCGTGGTTGGTCTTTCCCTCCTGGCCCGTCCCCGAGCCACCTCCTTAGCATAAAGTGCCAGGGCCTCGGAGAGCACAGACCGTCAACAAAGGCCAGCCAGGTTATCACCTGTACTTCTCACCATGGTCCTCATCGCCTTGCGGTTCTTTAACGTCTGCTTTCTGCCCGTGCGTTGTTTTTGTTTTGGGGGTTTTTTGGTAGTGTGTGTCTTTCTAAATCTAAACTACATATATAATGTTTTCTGTGGCTATACGACAACTCAACGTTTTCTATTTTTTTTCCTTTAACCTCTTTTACCAGCTATATTTTTCCAGCAATTGCGCCATTTTCTTCCACTCTTCACGAAACCATATCGTAACATTTTGGAATTGAAATTACTAGATTGAGCTTGTTGCATAGTGGATCGTGACTGAACTTGAAAGGCATGTTCAGTTAAAGTAAAAGAAGACACAAGCTGTCTGTATTATATAAGAATAAACTGAAGCATTCGCCGTCAGCGACCTTCCGTCTTTGTCCGCCACCAGCCTCGCGCGCCTTCGGACAAGGCGGGCCCAGTGGCTCCTAAGGCAGAGCGCGGCGCGCGCCGCCCCGGGCGTTCAGACAGGGCCTAAGCCCCCTGCGCAGGCGCACGAGCGGCGCGCGCGCTCCCGTCAGGCACTGCCGCGGACGGCCCGGAGCCTCTACTCAGGCACTGCCGCGGACGGCCCGGGGGCCTCGGGCGACGTGCCGGAAGTGGCGCTCGGCTTTTCCGCCTGCATCGCAGCGGCCGTCATTCGGAGCGGCGCTGTCCGCTCTCAGGGTGCGTGGGCCTCGTCTTGCTCCTGCGCCCGGCCGGCTACCGACGCCGCTCTACCATCGAGAGAAGATGGTGGGCCGGAACAGCGCCATCGCCGCCGGTGTGTGCGGGGCCCTCTTCATCGGGTACTGCATTTACTTTGACCGCAAGAGACGGAGTGACCCCAACTTCAAGAACAGGCTGCGAGAACGTGAGTGGGTCCTACGCCGCGGGCCTGCCGCCTCCTGCCCCTGTCCGTGTCCCCTCCCCGCCGGGCGGGCGACGATGGGCCGCCGCGAGCAGCGAACCGGAAGGAGGTGCCGGCGCTCCCGCGCGCCCCTAGAGCTGCTCCTGGCCCTGAGCCCTGCGAGGTCCCTCCATTTTGGAGGAGCGATTTTCCCATTTTGTTTTCTCCACTTTCGCCGTGTAAATTGCACTCCAGTTGGTCTTTTGATTTAGGTTGTGTATGTTTGTTGGAAGGTGGGGTCTTGGGTCTCTTTTTTTGCGTTCACCTCTTAAAATCGCTATTCTTAACTGGAAAGTCGTGGGGGTTTTTTTACATTTTCCGAGTTTGTGCGCGAGTCTGGGTCTGCGAATCCTACGCGGCATCGTCGTTGCATTCTTAAACCCTCTTGGTAGCGTCGCTTCAAAGCTTCCAAGATATGAGTGAATGCTATAGAAACTGCAGGGGAGTCCAAAGGCTGCGCTTCTCCTGTGGCTCAGTTTTATTTCATACCTGCGACATCTTTTAAGAGACAGATGGGAGGGAAATCGTTTCCCCAAAACCACTGTGGTCTTCGAATTTAGGAGGCATGCTCATTTGCATTAGAAGAGCAAATTTGCTGCAGTGTGAAACATTTTCGTCATTTATCTACGTTGCTCAGTCGAAACAGTTTCTGGAGTTAAATTGATAATGTAGGTTATTAAAGACCAGGAAGTACAAGGAAGTGATTGTCCTAGGTCACACTTTTTAAGCCGTAAGTCATTTCAGGCGTTCGGGAGCCACACGTGGGTAGCGACCACGTTATTGGACTGCGCTGATCTCTACCAGATGACATAGAATTCCCATGTTTTAGGAGGCAGGGATATAGAGATAATTTATTTAATTTATGATTAGGTAGACTGACGGAAGGCATGCTGTCTTGGATGAGTTTTCAGTCCCAGGTTAATCACAGTTAGCAGTACAATCTTGGCCTTTCTGAATCTTATCTTTCTTAGTTTATGAAATTAGGTGATACCACCTGCCTCTGGTTTTTGTAGAGCTTCAGGGAGATGTTAGAAGTGTCCACCTCCACCTCTGTTCCCGACATGGGCAAGGCCACTCCTTTAATGCTGGTGGCAAGTGCAACTATGAGGATTTAGATAATTTTCTTACTGTTTCAAAAATAGTTGGGGAGGGTGGTGGTGGGCATGCAGATGCATGGGTCTGTAAAGGGTGTATTAACCTTTTCTTCCTTTGGAAACGTGGCAGCCTTTTTGTTGAAAACCTTGAGAAAATGAATTTTGAGTTGGAATAATATTTCAAACAAATTAAGAACTCTGTTTATTTAAAAATTTCCATCCTCGGTGCATTTTTTTTCTTGCTTGAGCAGGGTAGCCTAATGACTTAAGTGGTCAGGCTTGAATTATAAGCTGAATAACCTTTGGGCAAAAGGTTTTGTAAAATAGTGTAATGAAGATAGAGTTTAGTATAGTACCTGACACATGGTAATTGGTGAATGCTAAAGATTGTTTATGAATATAATTTCTTTGATATTTTCTTAAGCAATTAAAACTAATTTATAGTAGTTTTGCAGTCTGTTCAGAGTTACACGATTGGCTGATTTTTAAGAACTTGAGGGTGTCTTGCATTTATGGAATTAAATTGATTTCAGTCTTGTAATTTTGAGTTTTTCTAGTCTAATTTCTAATGGAATACTTAATCTGAGAGTTTCTCAAATCAATCATTTTGGCTTGTTAAGTTTTCTATTTTTTTTTTTTAAAGGAAAAGAAGCTTGTTTAAAATAAGGTTTGAGGTTAGATCCGGGCTTCTAATTTATTTAGATTTTTTTTTGTCTTCCATTAGCAACAGCAGATTATGAGGCCCCTTAAAGCATAATTTTTATCAACCTAATTAATCATTAATAGGTGAAATTAATTAAATTCCAAATTAATACAGGTGTGTTTACTTATATGCTACTGTATAAAATGATGCATCATTTCTAAAGATATTAAGTAATCTTATTTAAATGAATGCTGTACAAATGACTTAAATTGGGACTTTCTGTAAACTTACATTTTATATGTATTTTTAAAAGTAGACAAGTTTGTTTTAATTCATTAATTACACTGTAGCACCTGGGACTAATTTCTATCAAATACTGAATCAACGCCTGATTTTGCTGATTGAATGTGTAACTCCTTGGTTTTCCAGTCTGTTACCATCTGTCTCTTTATCTGTAGATACTGTAGTACCACATGTGGTACTGTATCCGAAAATAAGTTAATGTAACAAGGTAACTGTCTTATGAAACTAAAGCCAAAATTTTCATCGTATCGCTAGAGACTTAAAGCAACTTAGTGTTCAGCAGTTGGTAATTGTATCGAACATTCAGCAACAATCACACCCTCCTCTCCATGCCGTGAAAGAACAGCTGTAAAATTGGATGGTCTTGGAACTAAGTTTCTCTCTACTGGGTTTCATTATCTTTTATAAATTCTGGCTTAGCAAATTGTATTTCTCTGTTTATTCCACAAACTTGCCACGTTCGTTTCCGAGGTGCCTTTCATTTTGATGGGAATGTCTTCACTTCTACAGCCCGCCGAGGCAGGCTTAGAGTAATGGTGCAGGACACATGCTCTGAAATTCAACTGCCTCCGTTTGAATCACTCACCGCTCCACCCACTGGTTGTGACCATGGCACAATTTCTCATCTGGAAAATAGAGATGGCAACAGTACCTGTCTTAGTGTTTCCGTGAGGATTAAATAAGCTAATTGATGACGCTTAGAATCGTGCCTTGGCATACCTTTACCATCCCAGTGTCCAGGTGTCTCTGTCCTCTGTGAAGTCTTCTGTCTCTCATCTAGTCTTAGTCCTCTCCTTCCAGCACTGGTCCGTGCCATGATATTTAGAAATTCGTTAATGTAGTCTGGTGTCATTTGTTATTTTCTGCCTAAAGAGGTCCAAACGAAACCCTTAAGCAAACCGAGGGTGGAATATGTGTCCAATTCCCCGCAGTCAGTTGCCCGGTAATGAACACCTAGGAAAGGGAGTTTGTTAGACAAATAAGTAGTCTTCAAATTGGTATGTAAGATTGACTTTAACCTGTATTTGCCTGCTGAAACTGCTCGAATTGTATTAAGCCTTAGCGTTGTAGCGCTCTGCATTCCGAGGGCCAAGGCTGGTGTGGTTAGAGCCAGTTTGTAGGGTTAGATAAAAGAAGGCTCCCTGACCATAGAAAATGAATCGATGCACAGGCCACTGCCTCTTCAGTTGTGCTTTGGGACTTGGGTTTGTGGAAGATGTTTGCTGGTTTTATGGCTTCTGTTTGTCACCGTAGTGAAGTTAAGCATGACTTATCTTTGGAGAGTTGAGATTTAGTTGCCCGAGGTCATCCAGGTAGTAAGTATTAGAGCCTTACCTTTCTCAGCCTCGTCACATGGTTATTATAGTCCATGTCATTGGTAGCCTTTAGTGACTTTGGGTGTTTAGCAAAGCACAGCTCCTTAGCTGAAGAGTTGGCATTGAACTATATCAATAACAGATACTTATACGGCACGTTATAAACCAGACACTATTAAAAATAGTTTACGTACATTAATTCACGTAATCCTCACAATAACTGTAAAGCAGGTACTGTTCTTGGACCAGTTTTACATATGGAGAAAGTGAGGCACGGGTTACTGTAACTTAGCCAACATCGCACTGCTAGCAAGTGGAAGTTTTAAAGAAAATTTCTCAAACGCTGATTCTCCTCACTGCCCCCGCCTCCCCTAATCTAAGAATGCCAGACAGTATTCAACATTCACTAAATAGATATCTGTTATAATTCAGTAATAGAACTCTCTAACAGCAATGGCTTGATTCATGGCCATGTTAGTGTCCTTTATAGGTTGGGAGGGTGGGCTTGCTCTGCTTATGGTAGTACTCAAGAGACACCCACCTGTTAGAGCTGTCTCCAGCTTGGAAATGGCTGATGCTGGTGCATAGGAGGAAGGAAAAAGCTTTTGCCCAGAAACGTCACATTGCCTAAAGCTCCTTGACCAGAACTATTCATGTGACCCTGACAAATCACAAGAAGAACTGATAAGCAGAGAGCCAGAGTCAGTAATATTTTGGAAACAGGATGAATGCCTGCCACGCAGTTAGATTTCTTTCGATTCCCTATTTAATAATGATTAAATGAAAATATTTCATTTCTTACAGGAAGAAAGAAACAGAAGCTTGCCAAGGAGAGAGCAGGACTTTCCAAGGTAATGCTCAACCTGTTTTTGGTTTAGATTGTATTATGTATTTTATAGAAATAATTATTTAAAACTCTGCATCGAATGTGTTTCAAGAGAGCTAGCTGATACCAAACATTGATGTTCTATTTTAAAATATAATTTGTCGCTTTTAGGAATAGTTAACTCAGTTCAACCGTAGGTAATCGCGTCCTCCATTATTTCCTCTTTGTTCGTCTTCATAGCAGACACCTCGCTGTCTGGGGAGTATTTAAGGGACAACAAAGTGATAGTCTCTGGAAGACATTTGCACCAAAAGGTTCAACTTATCTTACTCAGCTGCTTCAAAATAATAAAATAAAACATTTATTAATTTTTCTATTTTTCCTTTAAAAGAACCACGTTATTTATTTCAAAAGTTACATAAGATTATTCACAGCCACTGATCCAGAATCCCATCACTTGACACATTTTTACCTTGCTGTAATACGTCAATGTAGATATAAATCTTTTTATTCATTTTTTTCTTTTTATAGATCCTGTGTTCATGATTATTTTAAATGACTACATAGGTTTATCTGCTTGATAAAAATGTTCTGTGACATGTAAGTAAGTAAATGTTAATAATTGTGCATGTAGGTCGCACTGCTAGCAAGTGGAAGTTCCATTTCCTGATGAAATTAGTTCCATTTCCTGGATTCCCAGGGCTTGGACTGCTGGATCAACAGTGGTTCTTTTTGAAGCAAGTTGAGGCAAGGAAAAATCAAATCGATAAATGTTACATTTTGTTATTTCGAAACAATCGAGTAATCAACAGCTGACTGACTGGATGTGATAATAATGAAGTGAAACAGAGACAGCAGTTAGTTGTCCTGTTTGTCCAAACCAGCTTTCTGAAATGTGTAATACGTCCGTTCGCGTCAGTCTCCTTTTTAAGGATCTAGGAAAATAGATAAAGATGTATGCATCGGTGTGTATGTTTAGATTCAGGTATAATCAGATTGTTGCTGTGTGCTGGGATGGTCAACGAGAGATGCCTTCGCTTTGAGAAATTAAAACTTTGTCACCCACGTTGAATAATAGGAGTGTATATAATAACAATCCAAGAACCAAAAACCTCCATTAATAGAACTCTAGAGTTTTAAATAAAAAGGAACTTTTTAATAGCAGGTTTACATTTTTTAGAAAGACAAGCCAAATAGCTAGTGGCATTGCATATTACCATAATCGTTGGGTCTGGTAAATGTGACAAACTATAAAAACTTATTTAAGTAAAGGTGCTTGTAATTATATTAGCTAATATTTGGAATAGTAAAATTAGAAGTACCTCAAATGCCCAATAAATACCTAGTGATTATGCACTTATACATTCTTCAATGGTATATTCTTTTGTCATGTAAAAATAATCTTTTAGATGTAGTAAAATCTATACAAAATAATGTTGGAATAGAAGAACAAATTGATTTGTTACATAAAAATCTATAATGCGATCAAAAAGTAGTGTGAATGGTAAAGCATGTATTTCATGGTAGAGACAAATAAGTTTAAGTATTTTTTCCCCGCATTCATTTCAGTGTAGATACTAAACTAATCCTCGCTAGTGTTGTCGGGTCCTTTTTTATTTAGAATGAGCTTTTCAGTTTTTTGTTTTGTTTTTAGTGGCATGGTTTTCTGTGTATTGGTAATGTCATGTTATCAATTATTAAATGTTTTACTTCCAAACAGTTACCTGACCTTAAAGACGCTGATGCTGTTCAGAAATTCTTCCTTGAAGAAATACAGCTTGGTGAAGAGTTATTAGCCCAAGGTAATAGTCATGTAAACAAACAAAATTCAAACCAAGTAAATTTGAAGATATAACCGGCCTCGTGAAACAATTCAGGAATGGGACAGCATCCCATCCAGCAGCTAGAGGCACTTGCTCCCGGGGGTTGTACAAAATGGGAGAATTTTCTAGGAAGCAGGGTGGGGCGAGGGAGTTCTTAGTGAAAGGAAAGCAAGGAATATTATGGGGGAAGTAAAGGGGAAAGGTTTTCATCGTCGTAGGTTTCTTTCTCTGTGGGATGGCGAAGGGCCTGTATAGCAGATTACCTTACTGGTTCTTGACCAGAAAATCCCAGACTGGTTCATTAAGATCGTTTCTGGGAGAGGTCGAAACTGCAATTAGATCGGGTATTAAATTTGGAGGTATAGCATAACGGGCTTTTAGCAGGACTGCCGCCATTTGGGGCCAATGGCTTTTTTTAATAGTCATTAAATGACTAGGAAACTAGGTAGAATTGATCACACTGATATAAATTTATGGTGATAATGGATGGATTTTTTCGGTGTATTATTGTTACGAGCAAAGTTGGTGGGTACGTTGCCGGTCGCGCACAGAGAAGCCAACGTCCGAAGCGGCAGTTTTTGCAGAGAAAAAGGGTTATTCGTCAAGCAGCCAAGTAAGGAGACGAGATGAGACTTAGATCAGTCTCCCTGAGTAAAGACTCGGAGTACATGTAGAGGGTTAGGGTATGGAGAAGCGACACGTATTTATGCGTTCGAATTCAGGAGTCTCGATGGGGCAGTCTTGGAACTTAGCCACCTAAGGTAGGACCGGGGAAGGTGGGAGAAAGCACAAAGGAATTCTGAGCGGCAGGGTCTGGCCGGGCGAGATCCAGGGGCCCCCCTTGCCCCTGTCCACGAGGGCTGGGTCTGCGCACCCAGGTTCTGGCTAGAGGCGGACTTCAGTTCCGCCACCCGATGGGGCCAATTGCGGTCCATCTGTTGGCTGTCTATGCATGACGAGCCCCCGGGACCGGTCTGATCCAGCGTGGTCTGGTGGTCTCCTGGGCGCTATGAGAGAGGCCTGCTGTCATCTCCTGAAAGGCACTAAAAACACTAGGAAAAACACTAATAAGGTCTGGTTTCAGGGTTAGCACCCGGTTTCAGTATGGCTGTTTCTGAAGAAGGTATTCTGAATACCGTCACGCGGCCCACAGTAATGTTTCGGGCAAGGGTGGACCACATGCAGTAGTGGCCCCATGTGAAATTATAATGGAGCTGAAAAATTCCTGTTGTTTTGGTGACTTTGTGGCTGTCGTAATGTCTCAAGTAGCACACACAACACATTACTCACGTGTTTGTTGTGATGCTGGTGTAAACTGTAGGGGAACAGAATTTGTCACCCCAAAATGTGTCTCTTTGGCATAAGGATTACTTCAGGCTGGTTAATGTTAAGAAATGCAGACAATGGAGAAACTCTGAAAACCAAGTAGACATTGCCCCTTGTAAAAGACGTTGACGTTTTAAGGGGGTCTCCCTCCCTGTGCAGGGCAGAGGGCTTGGTCTTATCTTTAGAAACTCTTAACCAATGCAGAAGACAGTGACTTAAGTCTGCAGCAACCTCACCCTTGTTTATCATGCTTTTTCTGGTCACCTCCCACAACTGACTCCCACCACCCCCAGCGTCATCATCTGTGTTCTGCAGAGGGTATTTAAGGTGGTGGCTTCAGCCATTTTGGTAAGGTTTTCGGTTTTCCTGGGTCTGTCATGTTATATAGGAAGTATACGTGTTATTAAACTTTTGTTTTTCTCCGCTACAAAACCTACTGGGCTGCCAGTTGTATAAAATTGCACACAGTGCTGTTTAGATGCACAAGTACTTATCGTTGTGCTACAGTGGCCTAGTAACACTCGTCGTTACAGGATCGTGCTGTACAGGCTGTGGCCTAGGCGCAGTGGGCGTGCAGTGGGCTGTACTGTCCAGGTTTGGTCAGCACAGTCTGATGAAAATTGCCTGATGATCTGTTTGAATTACAAATTGAAGTAGTTGCTTATTAACAAAGAATGCTATCAAGTGTCAAGTTTCTCTTATTCTCATTGCTGTATCAAAATAAATTTAGGCCGTACTCACTACGTGATAGGGCATTTGTGGTTTTTTGTTTTATAGGAAGAGATGAAAGGTTTAGGATGGTGATGACCATCATCTTTCTCAAGAAATAATTTTTTTCCCTTTTTTTGAGGAAGCAGTTATATTTTACTTGGGCGATATAGTAAGCTGATAATGTTTGTAAATAAAAATGGAAACACCTTACTAGAAAGTAATTATTAAACTTTCTTTCCCAGTATACATAGAAAAAAATGGGAGGTTCAGTAAAGGCATTGAAATCCTCTCAAGGAGCATTTGAGAGTCCATATTTATATTACTTCAAGATCTGAAAAGAAAAAATCTATGTCTGTAGTAATGTCTGTGTCTAAGGGTGTAGTTCGTAATACTTCAGTTCATGCAAACAGATTCTCAAGTAAATTTTGTTTTTCATGAACGTAAAGATGTCTTATACTACCAAAATTTTCTAAACCCCCAAACGTAAACATTTTAAATTAATTTACTGACACTAAGATATTAGAATATAGTGTACCCCTAGTTACTTGTATTTGGATTATCTTGGAGGTCCATGCACTGTGGCTGGCTGTCTGATTTGAGCTGTTAGATCCATGTTGAGAAGGACAGTTACCCGCCGTGGTCGGGGAAGTCAGGGAGGGACAGGAGGAAGAGTTGTTCTTTTTTCCAAGTTCACTATCCACTCTTCAGCGTAACACGCCCAGAGGATTACTTAGCTGCCCAGCTGCCCTGCTGCCCAGCTGCCCTGCTTCTGGTGGAAACTGCCAGTCCGGCCAGAGGTAGAAGACAGGTGGCGGGAATTAGGGAAGAGGTCGTCCTCAGAGTCAGCCAGGTGAAAGCATAAGCAGTTTGGGCAGCGCACTTCATCGCTCGACAGGCTCTTCGTCACCCAGGCATCTCCGCGAATACCCTGTTAACCGAGCAGGATCTCATCTCCCGATGTGTGAATGGGATCGAGTCGCAAGTGCAAGAGGAAGTGGTTTCTCCTGCACTGAGCCGCAGTCGTTCATGAGCCGTCCCGGTGTATCTTGAAGTGCCGGGAGGTTCTCAGAGGATCAGAGTCAGGGGATCCCCGCGTTCCGCGCGTACCTCTCCGGTAGCAGCTCTTTCCATATAGTAGTGAGGATTAATATCCTCTGGCAAATTTCCTTTACTGCCTGTCCAGTGGCCGACATGAGTATTCAGTGACCAGGTGGCATCTTAACATCCCCGTGGGGGGCGCTGAGTTTCTGTGCTCTCACTGAGCCTGCCAGTCTCCTAGGACCTGCGTTCACCAACCCAGAAAGAAAGGAAATAATTTCTTGACTGAATTGGCTCAGTTTCACCTTAAGAGTTAGACATGGCCCAGTTCCCCGCATCAGGTTACTAACAGACTAAGATGATAAACGAACAGGAGAACCAGTCAGAGCAGAAGCGCAGAACACGAGGCCGACAGCAGTCAGGGAAGCATCTCGGCGATCCAAGCGGCAACCGCCCAACTGTGAGGCAGCACTGCTTCCGTCCCGGGATGCTGGACTCGGTCCTCCCGGGCCATGTGACCAGCGGCGTACGTGATGCTTCCGGCAACCTTGGTACAGTTGTTCCGCCTTGGCCGTGTGACAGGTGGCTTACATGATGCTTCTGGCGCTCTTGGTACAGTTATTCCGCCTTATCCACTGAATACACGTTCCCAGACCCCCAGTGGATGCCCTAAACTGTGGATAGTACCCAAGCCTATGCATACTGTATCTCTTCCTGCACACACGTACACTTTATGGCTTCTCTTCGGTGTATTCGAATCGCCAGCATCACTCCTTTTACACTTGGGGGCATTACTAAGTAAAATAAGGGTTATTTGAACACAAGCCCCGTGGTACCAAGACAGTCAACCAAGATGGCTCCTGAGTGACTAACAGGCGGGTTAGGGTACACAGCATGGAGTCGCTGGGCAGGGATGTTTCACGTCGCGGGGCATGGAGCAGGATGGCATGAGATTTCGTCACACTACTCAGAACGGCGTGCAATTTAAAACTTAGGAATTGTTCATTTCTGGAACTTTCTGTTTAACACTCTTGGACCGTGGGTAATCGAAACTGGAAAGTGGGAGTGTGACGATGGGGCGGGGCACTGCTGCATTCACAAAAGAGGCGCCGTTTATGATCCCGCCGTCCGCTCAGCAGAGGTCTCGGCAGCGCCCACTTACACAGGAAGGGAGCTCGAGAGTTGCTGTGAGTGAAGTGTCAGTTCCTGAACGTGTTCTGGACACACAGAGTTGTTCGGCACGGCTGTTGGATCTGTAGAAAGATCGTTGCCCCTGCCGATCAGCTGCGGGAGAGATCGAAGGACTTTATGATGTCTGTTCACAAGCAGGAACTGTCAGCTGACTAGTCACTTGATTACCGACCGTCAACTGGGTCAGTACACAACTCTGGCTTGACCTTTTGTGATGGGCAGCATTATGACATAATTTCAATTCCTAGGAAAGGAATTAGCTGAGCAGGTCAAGATGGTGGCTGCCACACCCAGATGACAATGGCCAACATGGTCGGGATATCCCGGACCCGTGTTTCGATGGGACATTTGCAGTCCCCAAAGTGGCAGCGGAGATTCAGAGAGGTTACAAAAGTCTTAGAAACCTTTGCCCGTGTGCAGGTGCCATTGGACACCCCACAGTTTCAGACTTTGCCCAAGAGGTTTCCTGATCTCTCCACAACAGCCAGTTGGTGGAACAAGAAACACACCATCATATGATGGATTCAAGATCCTAGAATGAGCACTAGGAACGGCAGTCACTATACCCATGCCTGTGATCAGCTGACAAAGTCACGCACATGGGGTCTGATGGTGGAGACATTCCCCAAGACGCCCTGAGTGCCCTCCGGCCTGACAGGGCAGTCGGGTATGACAACTGCACCAGTCTGTAGGAAAAAGAGGAGATGAGCAGGGACAGTGTGAGACATTTTCTGTAGTCACAAGCTGCTTTCATAAAGGCCGTGGGCACAACAGTTTTGTAGTGTCCTTGATTTGCTTTATAGTAGGCCTTCCCATAAAGAAAAGTCAGATTGGGAAGTTTAGTTATATGAGCATGGGCTTAATAACTTGAAGTAAATTTCTCATTTTTCTGAGCCTCCATTTCTACAGATATAAGGATAATGCTAGCACCTAACTAAAGACTATTGTGAAAATGACGTGAACCTATTCATAAAAGCCACCAAGAACAGTGCCTCTGGCACCTAGTAGATGTTAGTAGCTGTTCATATTAAGGCAGTGGACACACTCTGATGCTGTAGTGATGGATACCTGTCATACGTTTGTCCAAACCTGTAGAAGGTGCACGAGGCGTGAACCCTAATGTAAACGGTAGATTCTGCGCGATAACGATGTGTCGATACAGGTTCACTGGTTGTGACCAATCAATGTCCCTTCTGGCGAGGGATGTTGATGGGGAGGCTGTGGGGGTGCAGGGGATACCTAGGAAGTCTCTGTGCTTTCCCGCAGTTTTTCAGTACATTAAGAGGATTTCCTGCATAGCAGGGTCCTGTACAGAAGAATACTTTGTTTGAAACCAAATTTAACAGTGCAAAGTTGACTTGCTCCAAGACAATTTTTGGCGTTTGATTTAAAATGGGGATAACTGAGGATAAGGACCACCAAGCAGGTACTTGATTCAGTTAAGCAAACCTTCAAAAACTATAAGCCTTGTGTATTATTTTTCTTTCAAAGGTCGCACATCTGTTTTAGGAAATTTATAGGTAAATAAAAAAATTCTACCACTCAAGAATCACTGTTTTGTTACCTGTCCCTGCCACCTCAGTTATTGTGAATATTTTGCCTGTTAGCATTTTTAACAAATTTTTTTTCTTTGACTTGCATGGGATTAGTTTAAAGTGAAGTTGGGTCACCTTGCTACCTCAGTCCCCAGCCTTCCAGTTCATTCTTCTTACATAGAGAGGAACAATTTCATTGTTAGCAACTTCTTATGTGGCCTTTCAGAAATATTCTGAGTCTATGAAAAGTGATATATTTGGATGTTCCGCTCCTTAATTTTCCTCTTTTTGTATGTGTTGAAGACATTTCACATCAGTACAGATAATCTGACTCATGTTAATGGTTCATAATATTCAGTTATTTCCAAGTGTTTACTTACATGATATTTTGGCAGTGTCGCTTAGAGACACAGTGAAGACTTCAGAATGGAATTTTTGACAAAGGGCAAGGCTTTTCAGGTTACGCATTATTTTTATATAAATCTTCCAGGTGAATATGAGAAGGGTGTAGACCATCTGACAAATGCCATTGCTGTGTGCGGACAGCCACAGCAGTTACTGCAAGTGTTACAGCAAACTCTTCCACCGCCAGTGTTCCAGATGCTTCTGACTAAGCTTCCAACAATTAGTCAGGTAAGGATTTGAAATGTTATAAATTGAAAGTAGAATCTGAGAGTTAAACGTTTAGGGACGTTAGTTTTTTAAAGTGAGTGGATATGGTGGAATTATGAAACTCATCCATATGACGAAAACAGTACTCAAGATAACAGTGCTTGGAATGTTCTTCCCTAATGGAAAAACATCCAAAAAGCTGGCCAGAGGGGGTTCAGGAAGTGTGTCTCTTAGAATTAAATCTCGGGCTGTAATATTCACATCCCAAAATTCAGGCCACTCTCGTCTGCCTTCTAAAACTAGCTTTCTGCCTACTCTTGTGAGACCATGCATTCAGTCCAGTGGATGGCAGAGGGCAGAGGAGCCGAGGTGGCATAGCCCGGAGGTTAGTGATCAGGGACCCTGGACCTCCTGACCTCACCTGCCTAAAGGCCTCAGAACCACTGCTGCTGTCAGGGGATGGCTTTGAGTTAGGAATCGTTTCACTGCATCCCCAAATTCCTATTGGCTCATGCAAAATACCATTTGTCTACACGCGGTCCATAACTTAAGACGTAATTAAAATGCATTCTGTTCATTTTTAATCCTTCCCAAAGAGCCCAAATGAATCTACTTTTTGGAATAGCATGTCTGTTACATGTATTAATTTCCACATTTGCTATGATTAAAGGTTAGTAAAATGACGGATTAATTCTTGAAACCGACCTTTACTCAACTAGATTGGAAAGAGACTAAACAGAAAGGTCCCAGAGTTTTAAGGGAGAAGGTTAAAAAAGCAAGGACTTGGTTTTAATCCCTTTTATTTAATGTGGTTCCCAGTCTCTATCAGAATCTTGCATTTAGCGTTATTTGCACTTCGAAAGCAGCGTAGTGTATGGTGCTTTGGTGAAAATTGACATGAGCTTGATGTCTTTTAAAGCATAGATGGATTCAGGATGATGCCCGAATTCCTCTCTGTAAAGATGACCTTGTTTACTCAGTTACCTTGTTTCATGTTATTTGGAAATGCTTTCAAAATGCTAATTTCAGAGTACTGTATTCCTTCCTCATGACTTCGAGCATTTCCAGTCCAAAAAGGGAAATGTTTGAAGCACAGAATGATCAGTATTCTTAGCACCAATCAGTATTTTTAGTTTATGTGGGAGCAAGAAGAGATCTTAAATTCATTTCAGTTTCAGTTATGTAATTGGCTGACGTGTCACAGTATGATGTCATGCCTTCGTTAATTCGAATTTTGAAATGAAACTGACAGTAAGATGATAATGTATAAAAGGTTTAGTGTTGAAATCTCAGAATGGGTAAACTAGCAAGATTTGAATCTTTGAATGCAGAGCATTTTATATTGAATTTAGAATCCTGATTAAATACTTACACTTTTTAAAAGTTAAAACATTTTATTTTTCCTCTTTCAGAGAATCGTAAGTGCTCAGAGCTTGGCTGAAGATGATGTGGAATGAAAAGCAAATTTCAGCGTAATAATATCAATTAAAAATATTTTTAAAATCCTAACTTGGAAGATGAGCAGCTGTGGGGGAATAAGGGCACATATGCTTGCTATGGACCGTCCTGCACTGAAATCTGCCAAAGTTAATTTTTACTTTGTGTAGATCCATTTGTCTGTTTTATTTATTTTTCCCAGTGAAGAGTGTATTTTGATAGAGAGCTTTTCATTTTATAAATACACTATGAGTTACTGAAATATCATGGATTTTGTTTATTCCTAAAATATGTAATTAAAATGTACATATAACATCATATTACATAAATCAAAAGTATCCAGTGCTCAGTTACGAAAGGCAAAAAAAGCGAAGGGGAAGCTGAAGAATGCAGTTTTTAAGCTAATACATTTTGCTGCACATCAGAAAATTGGATTGAAACGTGATTGTGTTGATCAAAACTGAGTATTAAAATCTTTGAGATCATTTATTTGCATTTAATCTCTTAAATATGTGAGATGAGCTGCTGTGTTGTATTAACGACCCCCTCCCCCCCAATCCTGTGTATCAGTCTTGAAACGTTTTGTTTAAATCAGTGGCTTAGTGTGTTCTAGATATTTAACTCCTGGTGTTTTAGATGATACGTAGCTGCGGATCGCACCGGGAACTAGACCCGTGTGCCTCTAATCTCGCTGCGAGCTTCGCCCGTTATTGCCTGCCCGCTCTCCTCGTCTCTGAGATGAGGGAACTGGTCGCCGATGCAGAGACGTGTCCCTTCAGCCTCGCATTTATTTGGTTCTGTTCGGCATCATCAGATCCACCTTCTCCTGCGGTGTGTGTTTGGGCAGCCAGGCCTTGCAATGTTTTTGTCTCTGAATTTTGCATGCTCGCCTGACTTAGTGTTTCTGAATCGATCTCTTGTTTTAAGGTATAACGTGTTGATTTTCACTGAAATCATAATGGTCTGTCACTACTCTTGTAAATTAATATGAAACTTCACCTTTAAGGTAACTGGGATGAAATGCTTATTAAAATGTTTCTCGCTTTTATCTTCAGTGTACTTCCTTAATCCTTCATTTTCTTGTTACGATGAGAATCAGGTGCAGCTCGTACCTCAAGGCTTGCAGAGAACAGGGGTAATGGGACCTCTCACTCGCAAAATAGTGACATTATCTGCAGTCGCAGATTCATCATCACACCTGCAGATAAGGATCTCCGGTCCTCGGTGGTATCTGTTGAACTGAGCAGCGTTTCTTGTTGAAAGGTTGCGTTTCTTCCATCTGGAGAGACCCCCAAAGCGTCTTTGTGTGCTAGGCTTTTAACTTTGTTTTACTTAAAACTTTTCTTCGCCCTGGGGTTTCATGGTGGCCGTGGGGTAGTGCGTTTCTGCCTCTGGAGAGCCGCACAACCTCGCACACGTACGTCGTGTTGCCTCTCTGAAGTCACCCGGTATTCTCATCTGTAAAAGTAGAACCAGGTGACTCACACGTAATGACTCCCCTGGGTACCTTCCAGGTCTGTGGTCCTGAACCTTTAGACAGGGCTGGCTTCGATGACACCCAGCATGCTTGTGGGGGGCGGGGGTGACCAGTACAAACATGCTGGGTAGTCTGTTTCACTAACGGGGTCCCCGGTCCAAAGCAGCGTAGTGGGGATTGTCTGATTGGAAACCGTCGCCTGTCCCAGACAAAGGGAGCACCCAGGACGGGCCTCTGAGGGGCGAGAGGAGTGGGCAGAGCTCAGGGCCGGAGGAGGCGTGGTTGGGGGGAAAGGAGCAAGAGAAGGATGGGCCGGAGGAGCCGCGAGCCGGTTGGCAGAGCGAAGGGTCTGTCTGCTTCGATTTGGCCTCTGAGGACTGAGTGCCTCAGAGAAGTGGCGCAGACAGCCCCGCGACACTGGGCTTTCTGGGGATTGCCCAGCTGTGATGCGACGCTTGTCGAAAGGTGGCGGTGTCTTCAGAGCGGACTACGCCGGGCACGTTTTCTCGTTTAGATGACAGCTTTGGCGCTTTGAGAGCAGATACGAATTTTGAAAGGAGCTGTTAGTTTGAAAAAGAATGTTTTCCCCCGACACATAATTGCCAAACGCTGTTTCCTATCTAGAGTTTTACCCGTAAGGGGGTGGGACCAGGCGGTCACAGCGATGCTGGCTAAAGGGAGCTCCGCCCAAGGTTTAAGCAGGTGAAAACAGCTCGCGTGTTCCTGTGCGCTTGTGTTGCTCTCATGGTAAAAATCTGGAGATGCGGTGCACGCTGGCTGCCACTGGGCAAAGATCTGTCGTTAGGTCCCACAGTTCGCACTTAAAGTGAAAGCGTTGAAACGATAGCTTGCCTGGTGACAGCGATGCTAGTGACAGACAACCAGGACTTCACATTTACCGTATGTAAAACCTAGTACTGTGAGCACAGCAGGCAGGCAGTGTTCGAGTCCTTTTCCTCTTGATATAAGTCAACGTTTATACCACGCAGCTGCCTGATGTTGAATCAATCTATGGACCAGAGTGTAAATGAATTATTATTCCAGAAGAGATTTTGAGGTCATTGGTATATCATGCAGATAATCATACAATATTTTCTTTCTGTAACATAAAAATGCAGTTTTATTGATGCTTGTGCCTCAGCTGTTTAAGTGCATATTAAAAGGCTTGGAGAAAATACTGGCTTGGTGTGTATTTGCAGAAGTGAAATCTGCTGAATTTGATGACTCAGAATAGTGGCACCTAACCGTTTGTAGGTTGACATCCCTTTGAGGATGTTGACAGCTATACAGCTTCTCCCCAGGACCGGACACACTCGTCTTTGACTTCAGGGCCTTCACAGATCCCAGGTTAGGGGCTTAGGCTCCAAAGTCCGCAGGTGCGGGCCCTGCGTGGCTGTGGCTTTCCGCCTTTGGCAAGCGTCAGCCACCTGGAAGGCAAGGCAAACAAGCCTGGGCCCGGAGCACGGGTCATGGGCTTTTCCAACAAGTCCTAGGTTCTGGTGCTGCTGGTCTGCGTCCGCTTTGACTGGGACGCAGACAGTGACGCCCAGTGGTGATGTGAGAAACGTAACCAGGACATTCTTATTAAAATGCCAGCCGTATTAAGGTCACAGACGGTGTACTTCAGCACTCTGAAAATGCCATTCAGCGTGGTAGCGGAACGCCCAGTACTACACTGATCGTGAACTGAGGCGCATAGACCATCGTTATCAGACTTGACGTTCGAGATAGGTCAGTCCACTTAAATGTACCTGGGGAACGTGTCTCAGAAAATAACCCACCAACTGGACAGGTCAGTTAAGCAAAAATCGTATTCCCTAAGCATTTCAGTTGTGAGTTAAAATTTTGAGTCCATGTCCTGGGGTGAATCACATTGATTTTTTCCGTTTTTGGATACTAGGTTTTTAGAAAATTATATAAATCGTATATAATATTTTAAACCTTTTAAAGGCGACAGCTGTGTTCCGGAAACAGTCCAGTTGGCGTTGTGGAGATGCCCTGTTTAATTTCTACTGATCTTGACAAGGGAGCCAAATACGTCGATGTGATTAACTCAGTTTACCCAGAGTGACAAGAATAGTCCCTAGAGGTTGAACATAGTGACGACTTGAGTGGCCTCACCCTACCCCCCCCGCCCCCCAGAGGACAGCTCTGGTCCCAGCAGAGGCTGACCCGTCTGTAAAGCAGTCATTTCAGTTGTCCCGTTCCTGACACGGTTTTCAGAAGCTTCCACCGGAGTTGGACTCCAGTAGCAAGTGTGGAAACCCAGCTCGAATGAGCTCAAGAAGCGGCGGCATTTGTGAGCTCCTGGGGACGAGGAGGTTGAGCCTTCAAGAGGAGAACGCGGCGGCCCCCCAAACCGGGACGGCGCCTCCATCCGCTGCTCACGGCGCTTCCTTCGCTTTCGCTCAGGCTTGAAGAGGCTGGAGCTAAACGAGGAAGTCGCTTTTCTGATCCCTAGAACGTGTTAAGTTGACTCTCACGCTCTTACAAGGTGGCAGTTCTTTTACTGCCAAAGAAACGCGCCCAGTGTTGCCTGGGAAGAGATTCAGGCCCCCCACCCCCAGCCGTGTGGGGGTGCGATTCACAGAGATCGCGTGTGTGTGCAGTGCGATGTTCCGATGATGTCCATACACAGTGTGAAGTGATTGTCGTAACCGAGGTCATTAACATATCCTCACCTGAGTTACCTTTGTGTGTGTGGCGAGCATACTGGAGATCTGCTCTGCCAATGTCAAGTCCAGAATCCATCATGAGCTACAGTCACCTTGCTGCACATTAGATCTCTGACTCACACCTGAAAGTTTGTGCC